GGTTAACTGACCTATCCTCTTCCTTCCATCTCTCTGTATAGGATCAGCTGATGTTCCCTCGCATGCTGATGAAGCTCGTTTCCCTGCGGACTCTGAGCAATGTCCATTCCGAGCAAGTTTTTGCTTTACGACTTCAGGATAAAAAATTGCCGCCCCTCCTTTCAGAAATCTGGGACATGCATGAATAACCCCGGAGTTTTCCGCGTGGAGTCCAGCTCACGGAAACAGATCGACTGTCAAATTAGGAAGAACTTTACTGGTGGGAATGAGAACAGACAAGGAAGCTCGCTGAGAGAGTTATATATTCTTTCAACTGTAATTATCAATGCAGTACCCCATGTTTAGAGACATTTTAAGGGGATTTCCTGTGTTGCATCTCGAAGGATCCCATTTTACGATTGCTTTCTTGTTTTAACTGTTAACTATATGGTAGCTGACTATCTCTGTCCATGTTCACAGTACAGATTTTAAGACACTGTTTGAATGTAGTGACTGGCTGGAATTTGTGACAGGAATAGGGGAACCAGCTCTCCACGTCCCTGTCAAACAGCCACTGAGAGCCAGGCTCAGGGAACGATATTTTGTTTGTCAGTGAGCAGCAGCAGGACAGTGAGGGAACAGAGACTAGAGCGCGGGCCGGTGTTACCAAGAGATATACTGCCAACTAACCAAGGTCGGAATGTGCCACCATGCAGCTTTATATGAAGCTATTGATTTATAATAATGCACTAAAACTAACCTGAAAGCTCATCCAGACTGGTTATCTGTTTTACAGTGTCTCCGACTGAAACCTGTTTAAAAGTTTCCATAGCCCAACCGGACCGTAGGGCTGTTGTCTCATTAGATGAAAAAATGACTGGTGGTGGTTTAACCTGCGGGTCACCATGCCGCAGGCAAGGTTGAGAGGGAGAGTCCTTCATAGCAACTTCAGCTGGTGGGGGAATTGAAACCATGCTGTTGGCATCACTGTGCATTGCAAATCAGCTGTCCAGTACAGTGTCTCTGCCTGGTACCTTTTTATAGTGTTTCTGGCTTTTGATTGATATGTTTCACAGTGTCCCTGTTTCTGACTGGTATGTGTTTTACAGCGTCTCTGTCTCTGGCTGGTCTCTGTTTTGCAGAGTCTGTCTTTTACTGGTACCTGTTTTACAGTCTGATTGGTATCTGCTTTACAATGTCTTTGTCTCCGTTGGCTCGTGCGACGTGGGCATTGCTGGCCGGGCCAGTATTTATTGACTGTCCCCAGTCGCCTTTGAGAAGGTGTTGGTGAGCTGCCTTTTTGAACTGTTGTGAGTCTACCTACAGCACATGGACTGCAAAGTCCTCAAGGAAGAAGTTCAGGATTTTCACACTGTGACAATGAAGAAGCAGCGATATATTTCCAAGCCAGGACATGGGCCAAACATAGCCAAAATGGGACTAGTTCAGCTTAGGAGCTCTATTCAGCATGGATGACTTGTGTAAATGGGCTGGTTTCCGTGCTCTATTACTCTGTAAGTGGGCTGCTTCATCCTGGATTTTTTGAAATAAGTCATTTTTGTGGGGTTTGCATGTTGCTGGCTGGCCAGCATTTATTGTCCCGTCTCTAGTTCATAGAATCTCTACAATGCGGAAACAGGTCCTTTAGCCCAACAAGTCCACACTGACCCTCAGAGCATCCTACCCAGACCCATCCCCCTATAACCCACCTATAATCTACACATCCCTGATAACTATGGGCAATTTAGCATGCCCAATCCACCTCGTCTGCACTTCTTTAGACTGTAGAAGAGGAGCACATGGAGGAAACCCACACAGACACAGGAATAATGTGCAAACTCCACACAGTCACCTGAGGGTGAAATCGAACCCAGGTCCCTGGTGCTGTGAGCCACTGTGCCGCCCCCTTGAGAAGGTGGTGGTGATTTGCCTTCTTGAACCGCTGCCATCCACCTGCTGTGGATTGACCCACAATGCCATCAGCAAAGGAATTCCAAGATTTTGAACCAGCAACAGTGAAGGAATGACATATATTTAAAGTCAGGATTGTGACTGGCTTGCAGGGAAACTTGCAGGAGGTGGTGTTCTCAGATATCTGCTGCCCTTGTCCTTCTAGATGGAAGTGGTCATGGGTTTGGAAGGTACTGCCTGAGGATCTTTGGTGAATTTCTGCAGTGCATCTTGTAGATGGTGCACACTGCTGCTATTGAGCATTGATGGTGAAGGCAGCAGATGCTTGTGATGTAATGCCAATTAAGATTGCTGCCTTGTCCTGGATGGTGTCAAGCTTCTTGAGTGTTGTTGGAAATGCACCCATCCAGGCAAATGGGGAGTATTCCATCGCACTCCTGACTTGTGCCTTGTAGATGGTGGACAGGCTTTGGGGAGACAGGAGGTCAATTACTTGCTGCAATACTCCTAGCCTCTGACCTGCTCTTGTCACTACTGTGTTTATGTGGTGAGTCCAGTTGAGTTTCTGGCCAATGGCAATCCCCAGGGTGTTCATATTGGGCTATTCAATGATTGTAACACCATCAAATGCCAAGGGGTGGTGGTTAGATTGTCTCTTATTGCTGATGGCCATAGCTTGGCATTTGTGTGGCTTAAATGTTACATGCCACTTGTTAGCACAAGCCTGGATATTGTCCAGATCTTGTTGCATTTGAACAGTATCTGAGGAGTCACGAATAGAGCTGAACATTGTGCAACCATTGACAAACATCCCCACTTCTGACCTTCTGATTGAGGGAACTTCATTGTTGAAGCAGCTGAAGATGGTTGAGCCTAGGAGACTACCCTGACAAACACATGCAGACAGGTCCTGGGGTTGAAATGACTGACCTCCAACAAAAACAACCATTTTCCTATGTGTCATGTATGACCCTAACAAGTGGAGAGTTTGCACCCAATACCCATTGATTCCAGTTCTGCTAGGGCTCCTTAGTGCCAGACTTCGTCGAATGCAGCCTTAATGTCAAGGGCTGTCACTCTCACCCCACCTCTAAAATTCAGCTCTCATGTCCACATTTGAACCAAGGCTGTAATGAGGTCAGGAGCTGAGGAAGTGGACCCAAACTGGGAGTCACTGAGCAATTATTGCTGAGCAAGTGCTACTTGATAGCACTGTTGATGACATCTTTGATCACTTTTCTGATAATGGAGAGTAGGCTGATGAGGCAGTAAGTTGATCGAGTAGGATTTGTCTGGCTTTTTTATGCACAGGACATACATAGGCCGTTTTCCACATTGCTATGTAGATACCAATGCTGTAACTGTACTGGAAGAGCTTGGCTAATGAAGTGGCAAGTTGTGGAGCATAAGTCTTCAGCACTATTGCTGGAATGCTGTCAGGGCCACAGCCTTTGCAGTATCCAGTGCCTCCAAACGTTTCTTGATATCACATGAAGCATTCATAGCAATCTTCAGCCAGAAGTGCCAAGTGGATGATCCAACTTAGCTTCCTGCAGTGGTCCCCAGCATCATAGATACCAGTCCAGCCAATTTGATTTACGTGAAGTGATGTCCTGGGCTGTTCCTTCATTGAGGATTTGGATATTTGTGGCATCTTCTCCTCCATGACTGAATGTGGTAGGACTACAGAGCCTAGATCTGATCTGTTGGTTGTGGGATCGCTTAGTTCTGTCTATCACTTGCTGCTTATGCTATTTGGCGTGCAAGTAGTCCTGTTTGATAGCTTTACCAGGTTGACACCTCATTTCTGGGTATGCCTGGTGCTGTTCACTTCATGCCCTCTTGCACTCTTCATTAAGCCAGGGTTAATCCCCTGGCTTGATGGTAACGGTTGAGTGGAGGATATGCTGGACCACGAGGTTACAGATTGCGCTGGAGTATAATTCTGCTGCTGTTGATGGCCCACAGCACCTCATGGATGCCCAGTCTTCAGTTGCTAGATCTGTCCTACTTAACATGGTGATAATGCTTCACAAAACAATTAAGGGTATTCTCAATGTGGAGATGAGACTTCGTCTCCACAAGGACTGTGCAGTGGTCACTCTTACCGATACTATCATGGACAGATGCAGCTACAGCAGGCAGATTGGTGAGGATGAGTTCATGTATATTTTTCCATCTTGTCAATTCCCTCACCGTCTGCTACAGACTTAGTCCTTTAAGACCCAACTAGCTGCCAAACATCCTGGTGGTGTACATTCTGTGGCCTTGCCACCCTGAGTGCTTCCTCCAAGTGTTTTTCAATATGAAGGAGTACTGATTCCTCAGCCAAAGGTTTCCTTGTCCATGTTTAACTGTTGTCATCAGACTTCATGGGGTCCAGAGTCAATGTTGAAGACTCCCAGAGCAACTCCTTCCCGGTTATATACCACTGTGCTGCCACCTCTGCTGGGTCTGTCTTGCCGGTGGGACAGGGATGGTGATGGTGGCGTCTGGGACCTTGTCTCTAAGTTATGATTCCGTGAGTGTGACTATATCAGACTGTTCCTTGACTAGTCTGTGAGACAGCTCTCCCAGGTATGGCATTAGCTCCTAGATGTTAGTAAGGAGTACTTTCTAGGGTCAATAGGGCTATTTCTGCCCGAACATTGATGCAGGATGGCCCAGTTTTATTTCTTTGTTGAAATTTTATCACGATTGATACAACTGTGTGACTTGCTAGGCTATTTCAGAGGTAAATTGAGAGACAACCACATGTAGACCAGTCCAGGTGAAGATGGCAGATTTCCTTCACTGCAAGGGATTAGTAAACCAGATTTATTTTTCTGTCACTCAGCAGTGGTTTCATGGTCATCATCGGATCCTTAATTCCAGATATTAACTGAATTCAAATTCCAACATTCAAACGCAGGTCCCCATCATATCAGAGATAGTAGAAACTGCCGATGCTGGAGAATCTGAGATGACAAGGTGTAGAGCTGGATGAACACGGCAGGCCAGGCAGCATCAGAGGAGCAGGAAAGCTGACATTTCTTCAGAAATCTGAAGAAGGGTCCAGACCTGAAACATCAGTTTTCCTGCTCCTCTGATGCTGCCTAGCCTGCTGTGTTCATCCAGCTCTATATCTTGTTATCCCCATCATATCAGCTGTGTTTTTGGATTCATAGTCTAGTGATACTACCACTATGATACTGCTTCCCCTGACTGTTATGTATTTGACAGTGTATCTGACTGGTATCTGTTTTTCGGTATGTATGGTATCTGTTTTACAAGTCTCTGTTTCTGTTGATGACTCCTTATATGACTTCAAGAGTGGACTGGTTGGTGGTGATTGGCTGGGTTAGATTTCTCCTGCTTTTTGTGTACAGGACTTACCTGCATAATTTTCTACATTGTTCAGTAGATGCCAGTGTTGCTTCTGCACTGGAACAGCTTGGATATGGGTGCAGTGAGTTCTGGAGCACAAGTCTTCAGTATTCTTGCCAGAATGTTGTCAAGGCCCATATCCAGTGCCTTTAACCTTTTACAGTGTCTTTGACTGGTATCTGTTTTACAGTGTCTGTCTGGTACCTGTTTGACAGTGTCGCTGACTCTTACTAGTATTGTTTTACAGTGTCTCTCACAGGTATATGTTTTACAGTGTCTCTGTCTCTGACAGGTATGTAGTTTACAGCAACTCTGACTGCTATGTATTTTACAGTGTTTCTGACTGGTAGGTATTTTACAGTGTCTCTGACCAGGTATGTGTTTTACTGTGTCTCTGACTGGTATCTGTTTCACAATGCATCTTTTGCTAACTGGTTCCATTGTGTTGCTGGATGCGCCTTTAACCTGTAAGTCTGAAGTGGCACCTCCTCATT